TTTAGTGCCTCCTACGGGAAGTAGCGGGGTGGGGGCAGCAGGCAGCTCAGTAGACACGGGAAATCAGCTGCCATGGTGTGGAATCCACGGTTATGAGTCTTCTGTTGTTTTCTTTGGAAGTTACTAGATGGCAGACGAGCTCATTTTTGAGGTTAGACTGGAACAGTGGTTCTCCAAATCAGATTCTGGCTCCAGGGCTCATCCCTAATGACGTTTCCACCGATCTGTAGTGAAACATGGTAAGGTTTCCATTGACTCCTTTTTTTCCTATAAGTATGTCCGTTTCAAAATATGTGATTGCCCTTTTATATTTTAGGAAATAGTGGGGGGAGTAAATGCAAATTTACTTTTTATTAAAACGCTTATTTGGAAAAAATGGCAAGCTGCATACATATCTCTGTGCGTATGTGAGAATATTTGTCTAGCACGCCCACACACGTGCAAAAAGAAACCAGATAAACTATGATAGAGTCATATTATGAAATTAGGTACAGCAGTCAAAAATGAATTAAACAGAGCTGCACTGATATAGAAAATCACAGAGATTAGGAAAAGAAAACCTAAAGTAGAATATGATGCTATTTAAACAAAGCATCCAAAGGATTTACTTCTATATGGACCTATGTATGTATATAAATGTGCAGAGAAAGTTCTGGAAGGAGGCATAGCAAACAGATAAGAGTGGTTCCCACTTTGGAAGATACTAAGGTTAGATGGATGTCACCAGAGACTTTTGCTTTATCAATATAGTTTGACATTTTTAAATAAGAAGAATATGTTTAGCCACTACTTATGGAATTTGAAAATAAATTAAAAGTTTTAAAGTTCCAAACCTTATGTCAGTCCCCTTTTATTATTATTACATTTATCATACTTGTTATTATTATCATTTATAATTAATTTTACCAGGCTATGAAAATCTGGGCACACTGGGCTAGATTAGAGTCAAGGCAAAGATTCTATGAGCATGATAAAGTGCACAAAAAGGTCATCTTTAATAATTATCGTCATAATAATCATGCACTCACTCTAAAAGGATAGTGTAAAAACTAGTTTAATATTTTAAGTGCAATACCATGACTTTCATTTACGTCATTTAAATGAATGAAATATTAATTCTTTGAAACTCAGTGTTGTAATATTTCATGTATAATAAAATCTTGCAAACTTGTTTGTTACCACCGTGCGTCTAAGGTTCACCAAAACACCTATGATTATTATCCACATATTGCATTTGAGGATACCACATTTTGCATTAGGTACGAATTTGAAAAGGATGCCTCTGTTGCTCTGTAGCAGTAGCACATGCATTCAAGTTTGCAGGAACGCACACTAGGAATCTGGCATATACTTCATTTGACTTTTTCCCTCACCATCCACTCAGTCCCTCAGACATCTAAAGCCAACCCTCGCCCTCAGCTCTGCCACAGCCGGAAAAAGATCCAAGTTCAGTTTTCAAGCATTTGTCTCTTACATCATCGTCAGCCCCGTCCACTAGACTTGGAATCAACATCAAGGTAAGCCTTGGGGAGAGATCAGATTTGTAGAACTGGAAACTTAAGGCCAGTATGACGACGGTTCCTTGGACATTCAATCCAAAAGCCCCGGGTTGTGGGGGAGGTAGGGGTGTGCTGGCGGATCAGTGCCAGAGACCAGCCTGTCTCTGGAGCTGTTCCAGGCTCTGATGCAACCAACAGCCATGGACTCTGGTAAAGGACAAACGTCTCTGAAGCTCAGCGTGCATCAGTCACTGCCTGTTACCAGACCAGGACCAGGGTCCTGAATTCTTACACAGATGGGACAATTGTTTCCTTTTCTTACAGCCTTTGGATTGCAGATGATGGGGGCATCCTTTTGTTCCCTTGAACCTCAAACTCAGAGCTCCCAGAACTCTGTTATATTACCTCCAAGAAATCAATCAAATTTTCACCCTTTCCCTTCTCTTTATTATCAAGTGTAAAACAGATGTTAGCTAGGTCTCTGATCCCATAGAGTCTACAGAAGACCAGCTCAGATCTCCCTTCCAAACTCCGCAAAGTCCAAAGCCCTCACTAAAAATTCTGTAAATTAGATATGAAGAAGGACCCAGACGGTGGATTCATTTCTGATCCCGCTCTATATTTGAAACCTGGTCTCACCGTCTCACAGCTCTGTGATTTCAGTAAGTTATTTAACCTCTCTGTGCCTCGATTTTCTCTTTTGTGTTGGAGATATGACAATATTATCTCATAAAGCGATTATAAGGATTAAATGAGGAAATTCCTCTGGAGGATTTAGTACAAAACCAAACACAACAATTACTCTGTCAATGTTAGCTATTATTGGTGTCATGAGAGGTCCTTGATGACAAAATAGCTGCAATAAAGTGGTGTCATCAAAATATTCCTCTTGGTTCCCAAACTTCTGACCAGAAAAGAGAAAAAGCCTTAGACTTAATGGTTTGAGCCCTATGGGTGGAATTTCTAGCATCAATCAGTTGGTGGGGAGCCTGGGCGGGTAACCTTTTAAAGCATCTCCGGTTTCATCTCAGCCTTTTCTGACCCCCATAAGGCTAGACTCCAATATTTGGTGACAGGTACTACAAGTCCTTCCTTTAAGAATCATCAGCTGAATATCCAGTGACTACCCCTTAGGATTCCCTCTAGTCCTGGGTGACCATATCTCCTGATGCTCATCTCAGACCCAACATTGCTCCATGTTCACCCACTCTGAATCGTGGTTATGAATCTGCTGCAGGACTTTCACAGGAGATGTTATGAGTCATGTCATGGCCTGGGATATTCCAAGTTAGGTCGTATTTTTATCCTAGGCATCCAAGTACCGTGTAAGTAGGCTGGGGGCTAATATTACTAACGCAAAATGTCTAACAACAGTAATTGCAAATGATCTTTCATTTTCTAAGTTCTGACCTCCAGTTAACAACCAAACTCCTGCTAACTGTGCTAATATTTCCCTCTGTAGTGGTCAAAGTTTCAATTGCATCAGATCAATACTTTCCTACATTAATGTCTTCCTGTACATTTTGCATCTTAAACCATCACACTATGGAGAGGAAGCCACTTAAATATTTGATAAGGGAATAAGCAGTCTCAAGGTAAATTTCAAATTGCATCCCCAAAACCTGGTAGGTATTCTCAGGGCCCTTTATTAACTAAATATAATAACCGATAGTAATACTACTAGTACCCAAATGTCAGTGGAGGTAACTAAATATAATAACCGATAGTAATACTACTAGTACCCAAATGTCAGTGGAGGGTACTTTGCATTGAGACTATAACACGTCTCAATTGCATTACTCAACTGCAGCTTGTTTAAAATAGAAACAAAAACTGGAAAAAGGAGAAAAGGGTGAGAGGATGTGGACTTGTTTTTGGATTCCAGAAGTATAAAAACAACAAAATCATAAAGACAAATTTATTCTTCAGCCATTAAATATTTTTGGTATATGATCATCTATGCTAGGAAAATGCTAAAAGGATAATGATCTGAATAAATTGACTTCTTGGATCTCAAACCAACAGGCCTTGCATTTTGACAATTACAGGTTTAGCTCACTGTCAATGCAAAGGAAAGAAGAGAAAAGAAAAGGCCCCATGGTTCATCAGGAGCATCGTAACCAGAACCATTCTTGGTTCCCTCTTCTGCATCCTGGAGCATCTCTCGGCCATGAGGTTAGTAGCCAAGAAGCAGCTGCTTGGAGGGGAGTTTGAGAGCTCGGACCAGTGAATGAAGATGCCCACACCAGGTGCTTTGTGCTAGGACAGAGGCAGATGGAAAGAAAAGGGGAGTGATGTGGGAAGGAGTCACAATGCAGCATAGAAGTTCAAGGAGTTCAAAAATTCTAAATTTAAACCAGGGGTTTCAGGTCTTTATGAAATCACAAAGATTGAACTTTGAACTTATCAGTTTTCCTAACTTATAAAGATTTAGACATGCGGTGTGTGGGCCTCTAGTGGTACTCTTGCCTCACACCCCACATGACGTAGGGGCAGCCCTCAGCTTGATCTGGCACTTTACAACTTAGAAGCTCTTTCATACATGATGTCATCAAATCCTCCCAATCACCCCAATTCACAGAAAAAAGCAAACAACCGTGTCCCCAGAGGGTTTGATGACATATCCAGAATCACACAGGCAACCAGCAGTGTTGGTTTACCTCTTCCAGGCAGGAGGAACTCCGGATCTGGGTTAGTAAATCAAAATCACAGTGAGGTCATCGCCGTGGGGGATGGAGCTTTGGCCTCTCATGTAAGTGGTGCAGCACAAAAGTCTGGGAGGAGTCCCCTGCTTTTGAGATGCTTTGGTTGTGGGCAGAGAAGAATTAGGGGGGCACGCAGAGGGGGAACCATGGAGGGCTGCACAGGTGGAAGGCCCAGACCCAAGAATTCCTATGACTTAAAGAAAGTCAAACTCTAAATATCAGATCCATCACTTAACATCATTGTCCTTGATTTACTTATCTTTTGTCACTTAAGTAAGTGACCTAACAACTTCTTAGTTGTTTGTGTTTGATATTTATATATTAGGTTTAAAATCATCCCAGAGGCCACATACTAGGTTGAGTCTCAACATAGCCTCTCACCTTCTCTTTGCCTGGAAGAGTACAAAAGGTACAGGTCACTCTACAAGGCCCCAAACAAGAGTCCAGTCACACCTTGAGGCAATGCCACCTTACTCATTAGCACGACTGTTGGAGCACCTGTAGATTTGAGGCCATCAAAAGGAATTAGAGAAGAGAGATTGATGCTCTTATGGGTCCAATGAGTTTAGAGAGCTTAGAGAATGAAATTTATAACAAATATGGCTTACAAGGTATAAGAAGGAATCATATTGCTATTTAAAATAAATCAATCAACCCTTTAGAGATAAAAGTTTTTCTTTAGAAACTTTGGAACAAAAATCGACCTTGCTGAGCCAAGAAATGTCATAGACTTTAAAAGATTTCCCAAGATCAATGATATATTTTTAAATCACTTTCCTTAAGCAAATCAGTCTTACCTTATAAGAAGGAAACCTATGGAAGTCATTCCAAAAAGTGCCATTGTGGTTCAAGGATGAGATCATAGTGGAGAATCAAGTGCTCATTTTCATCAAATTAAAGTCTGAGTGTCCAGAGAGCAAGCATCTAAACTGGACACACGTGATGTCATTTCCAGGTCCCACAATATCTCACCTATGTGCTCGTTTAGTGTTAAAATCGACTTCTAAGTATCAAACACTTGAGACAAGATGCTCTTTGTGCTTTACAGTTGGTTGAAGTTGCTTAATCTAAGAGACCTGAGCAAGTTTTTTTCCTTCAGTCTTGTTTTCACCTTTCTTCATTATCTTAAATAGCTACCTTCACCTGTTACTTTTCTTTCCTCCTCTCCTCTGTCCTCTTACTCCTCTGCCTTGCATTTCATCTTCTTCACTTTTGTTCTCTTTGTTTGTCCAAGGCACTGTTTGCCCTCTCTCTGATTGACCTTTCTAGCTCCCCATGGAATTACCAAACTCTTGCTACCCCCGCCCCTGTTCTTCCCCATCTGGGGTTCAGTGCAAAAAGCTGACCTGCAGCCTATATTTGAAGATTTCTCTAGTCAAGATTACCTTTCCCTGGTACCTCCATTTTATAATTGGAAAATTCCAACCCAGAGTGACTTCTTTAAGGCCATGGCTGACAAAACTCAAGCCCTAGAATGTTATACTGGTGACCACCTTACATGAGTCGAAAGCTCTTTCTATGAACTCCAAGAGCATTTATCATTTTCATCAGTCTTGCGACAAAATGGCTCCCATAGTTGGTTTTAATAAGGATCTCAAGGGTGCCTGGTCTTTGTATCCATTCTTGGAATTCAGAGGTGCCCAGCAGGTTTTACTGGCTCCTTGACTGTGTGAAAGACCCCAAGCTGTTAGGAAGAAATGATGCTGAGTACTTCGAGTACTTTCCTAGATGCTAAGATTAAGAGTCTCAAACTAGCACAGGGATTTTAAAACTATGGCAAAGTCTTGGTAAAAAAAGAAATGATCGTTGGAGAAAAGCAGTTTTCCCAAATGCATGGCCAAGTTGAAGATTGTATGTCCCATCCTGTGACACAAACAGAGAGTTGGGGAGGAATACCAGGTGACAGAGGACCAGTGGCCCAGACTCAGGGGGAAATATGACAAAGAAAAGGTAAATTAGGCACACATCGAACACCCCAAAACTGCTATATTAGATAATAGTAGCAAACACTTCCTAGTAGCCTACTATGTGCCACCCTAAATGCATGTCATCTCATTTGGTCTTCAAAATGAGGTGGGTACTCATTTATTAGCCCCAATTTTCCCAGCATGGAAATTGAGTCTTAATTATTAATTTGCACAAAGTCATAGTTAGGAGGTTGTGGAAGTTGAATTTGAACCCATGCATTCTGACTCCAAAGTCTAAGCTGGAAATCACTAACATTACTGTCTAAGGATGGTTGAAACAGGTGTCACATGTAGAACCTTCTCCTTGGTGCAGGGGCGAACTAACAGCTCTCAGTGGAGCAGCTGGAGCCCAGGCAGGCTGGAATCCTCAGCCTCCACAGGGATTGGCTGTAGCAAAACTGAGAGTGGATGGAGAGCCAGAGCAGAGCCCGCAGCAGCGGTGGTGTGGGGTGTCTGGGGGAGCTATAATGGTGGTGTTCCCAGCAGCAGCTGAATTACCTGGGGTAAGAGAGGCTACACATGGCCCTACACAAGAGGACTGCAGGGACCAGCTGCCTTAGGGTGGCCGACGGCTTGTTTGGGAGCCTTAATAACCAAATAGATGGGGACAGGACTCAAATGTTTTTATTCCTCATCTCTGAATGTTCAGTTTATGTATGTTGTCTTCCCAGCATCACTGTAATCTCAGGGAGGGCAGGAGTGAGCTTTCCATTTCTTTAGCCCCACATAACGAAGACACCCAACACCAATTTATTTACTTAGAGACTATGCATTCACCCACGTTTTGGGAAGAACTCAATCCCATACACTGATTATTTCAGCCTGCTAGGAACTAGTGCTTCAGAACAAAAGTAGTCAATTCTTTGAAAAAACTCCTTCAAAGTGTTACTCCAGGAGTGTGCACACATGTATCTGAGGAAGGAGAGAAATGTGGCATTTATTGTGCATCTTCTATGAGCCAGGTACCATGCCAGACACACTACAAATGTTAGCTCATTGAATCCTTCACTGGGTGGATAACGTAGGGAAAATTAATATGCATTTTGTACAGATGCAAAAACTTAGCAGCTTGAACTCACACAGTTAATGAATCATGAAAGCCCAGGTCACTCTGGCTCCAAAACCCATCCTTTCCACCTTTTCACTGAAAGACTTGTCAAGTAGAGAATTGGGTTTTTGTAAGATAAGATTTTCCTGCTCCCCTAAGTCCCTGGGGCCACTGGCTTTGGGCCTCCACGAGTGTCTTTCTAAGCTCTAGGTTTCCTACGCTGCTCCTGAGGCTGCTGTCAATGGGACGGACAAACAAATCCTAGGCAACACGACACTGATACAAACACGCACATGGTGGATGAACTGAGCACCCATGGCTCTGGCCCCTCCTTCCATATCAGAACAATGAGCACTCTCAGAGTATGTTTGAACAAGTACTGTCCTACCCAGCAACTGGGTTTTCAAGACAGCTTCAACAGCTCCTTCCCCTTTACATACAGTGTGTCTGATGACTCTCCACACAGCTCCTTCCCTCCTGTGTTCCTCCAAAAGTGCTCAGAGACCTCTTCTGAGCATGGCCCCGTGTCATGCTCCAGGATATCCTCACCATTCACAGAGGAGGAGAATGGAGCTTTCTGTCCATAAAATTACCTCACAGCAATAGAGCTTTCTCTGGAGCCTCTCAGCCTTGACCCCAAGTGCTACAGTAAAAGAAAAAGAAAGCTGGGGCAATAAATAAACCAAGAAGAAAAGAGAGCTCTCTTCCCCAAGTTCAGGAAAACTCTGAGGAAACATTAAACCAAGCTCACTCGGTCTGTTTCTAACATCTTCACCAAAAAACTGCAGTCAGTGAGCCTAACGGAGCTGGCGTTCTACAGCCAGTTGTGTGTGAAGACAGTGACACTCCACTCACAGAGCCCAAGGTGAGATGCTGCCAAATACGCTCTCTTGTGTGCGAAAAGTGAGAGGAGGAAAGGCTGCAGTGGGAAAGAGCCGCAGGAGGTCACCCAAGTCAGCGCTCTGCTTCCAAGAAGCAAGGCCACACTCCCTCTTTCCCTCCTCGTCCCCTTCAGCAGCAGGAACCCCATGACTCTCAGCAATGACCTGTTTGGAGACCCAACAGCCTCACCAGCCACTTGAGTGTAAAGGGACAACAATCGTTAGCACGTGAGTGTTCCTCGCCTTTCTCTCCGCCGTGCTCCCCAGGGGGACCAGGAGCAATCTGGCTTTCCAGTGTTGGCCCCCTTCAGCCCTCTAAGGTCAGTCCGGTTTTCTGAAGGGACACTCTTGGGCTTCAGATAGAGATGTGGGTAAAAATGAGCAGGAGAAAATGACCAGAGAAGTGTGGGAGGCTGGAGGGACTTGTCGGAGTGCTTCAGAAAGCGGTTGTAGCCTGCGGGAGCCACGGATAGAAGAAGAAAAAGGGAGACTGTGAGACTTGTCAGAGCCCCTGTTTCCCGTTCACACAGGGCATTTGAGAAGTGCAAGGAGAGGGCTTGATTTATTTTGAAATTACTCCTGATTGCATGGACTGTGTTCTTTCAGCCGTAACACTTCTCCAAGACCAAACCTCATGGGGCGTGACTTCATAAGCATGACGCTGGTGTTTCCAAAACTGGGTCTTGTGAGGCTGGGGGGGAGCGTGACGAGGGAGTGGGGGTGGAGGGGCCGAGAGCAAGGACTGAGCTGTACAGAGTGAGAAAGTTCCCGTGCCTCAGTCATCACCAAAACCACCAGATAGCTGTGGCTTTTCAGTGATTTCAAGGCCCAACGCGTTTTCATTTCTTTTTCTTTGAGGAGTGATGAAGAGGTTGTGGGACTCTTTGAGGCAGGGGGTAAAGAGAAAAGAATTAGAGGACAAAGAAAAGGTGTGCTGAATTGAAGCAATTCTAATAAAATGTCTACTTGTTTTTACTTAGAATCTCTGCTTCTAGAACTGAGAGGGGCTTCAGAAAGCAGTGGGGCCAGCCCCGTGACTTTGCATATTGTAATTACCATGTAACAAACACGCTGGTGATACAGGTCACACAGCTGCTGATGCTATGTGAAAACCAAGCCTGGGCCCTGCTGTTGAGGGCCCTCTCACTGCCACTCCTCTGATGCAGGGGTCCTTGACCCTGGCTGCCATCGGAATTCCCTGGGGAGCTTTACACAATACTGATGGGGTGCGGGTCTCACCCTCAGAAATCCTGCAGTCTGGGGTGCAGCCTGGCCATCAGGACTGGAGAAAGTTGCCAGGAGATTCGAAGGCCAGGCAGGAGAATGGAACATTGAAGCCCATACCTGAGTGCTTTCTATGGGGAAGGCGATGAACTGAATGTTTGCGTCCCCCTCAAATTCATATGTTGAAACGCAACCCCCGCCAAGGTGATAGTATCAGGAAATGGGGCCTTTGGAGGGTGATTAGGATTAAAGGAGGTCATGAGGGTGGAGCCCTCATGAATGGGATTAGTGCTCTTATAAGGAGAGTCAAGAGAGATCTTGCTTCCTCTCTCATTCTGCCGTATCAGGCTACAGTGAGAAGTCAGCTAGGTGCAACCCAGAAGACAGTTCTTACCAGCACTCTACCATGTTGGCCCCCAAATCTTGGACCTCCAGCTTCCAAGACTGTGAGAAATAAACTTCTGTTGTTTAAGCCACCCAGTCTAAGCTATTCTGTTAGAGCAGCCCAAACGGACTAAGACTAAGGGAACAACTGGGAAGTAGTGTCCCCTCATTAATAGCACCCACTGCTCAAAGGCATTGATAAGAGAAACAGCAGGAGGCAGTGGAAGGAGCCTCTGAGGGAAGAGCCAGCAGAGCTCTGCTTTGGCTCAGACTGATTCACTGTGTGACCTGGAGGAAGTGACAACTACACCTGGCCACAACTCACTCCTCTATCAAATGAGGGGGTTGAAATGGAAGACCTCTACTGTCCCGTCCAGCCTGCACATTCTATAACTCTGAGTAAACTTTCTCTGCTCCAGGCTCCAATTTCTTAAAGCTTTAGATTTCAATGGCTTCATTTTTTCCCTTTAATCACAGTTTCCCCTCTTCTCAGTTCCCATTCCATTTTCTTCACCTCATTGACTAGGGCGCCGCATATGCAAAAGCCAACAATCCCCAGCTTGACAAGGCTGCGGACAGAAATAAAGTCACATTAATAGTTAAACCCACCTCTCACTGGCAAAAGCCCTGTATGCTCAAACAGGAAGTCTATTCCTTGCGACCCCCCCTAACAAATTTTGTTTCTGGGATCCCCACTTCCCCACTCACCAACCCGGGAGCATCACTGTCACCGCAGGTGTCTGCTCTGTGCGCTTCCCACTGCGCAGCCTCCCTCAGCCCCAGGAAGCTTCGCAGTTTCCACCATGGCCCACACTAACCGTGAAAACAGTCATGTCTAGGCAGAGGTGCTGCCTGCCGAAGCTGTCAGTCCTCAAGGGGCAAGCGTGCAGCAGGGTTCCATGCAGAAGTGGAGAGAATGCCTCTCTCCTCTGCTCTGCTACTCAGGTCTCCCAGGCAGCGCTCCTTGTGCCCACAGGATCACTAAGTCTGCCCGAAAGGAACTCCTCCATCTTCCAGCCTCGCTCCCTCCTCGCTGGAGACCAAAACCAATCCAGGGTGAGTGGGGTGGGGGTGGGAGAGAAGCAGAGATCTCCTCTCTTCTCTCCTTGTTCGATATACATATATACATACACACACATATCTATACACTCTATATATCTGTACACACATTAGTATATATATATATATGTGAGTGTTCATAGATGTAGAGTGTATCCATAGTGTGTACATATATATATATAAACATATTTATTGGGGAAGCAGGGGCTCTGGCCTGCCGGTTCTGCAAGAAGCCACTTCAAACTCCCCAACCCATCTGCTTTGGCCAGCCTTCCCTGCTTTATGTGTCAAGATCTCTCCCTCCACTCTTTCTAGAGAAAGTAAATCCCTCATAATTTCAAAGCATAGCCATCACTTATCAAGAGTCCTTTAAAAGACTTTTTTCTAAAATCCAATAATTCTACCCCAAGGAAATACAAATGCAGACAAAGACATTCACCATGATGTGAAAAACGGAAAAACCTTAATTCCAATAAGAATATCCATATATGGAATGTTATGACGCTCTTTAACATTTTTAGGCCTTTTTAAAATAGTATGTAATGAAGTGAGAAAATGTTTACAAAATAATGTATAGTAAATATTTCGGGTATATAGTAGTGTGCCAATTTAATCATTCCAAACAAAATCATAGAAAAAAGACTCAAAAGAATTATGTCAACATGCAAATAATGGTTATTTCCAGGTAGTAAATTAAAGGATATTCTCATTTGTTTCTTTACTCTCTTCAAAATCTCTAAAATAAACATCAATCATTTTATAATCAGCAAATAAGACCGAATATATTAATATTTTTTTAAATATGACCATCTCAGAGCTGGTGTCATTTGTCCCTAACAGAACAAATTTGTGCTAAGAAAAGTGAAAGCATTTCTGCCTGGCTCCAGGGTGGCGGAAATCACACTGCGGGCTCTCTCCATCCCCATAGCAGCCAACATTTGTTGATCACGTACCGGTCAATGCAGCTCAGGACTGCAGTCCATGCCTTGCTTACATTCACCTGTTTGGTCCTCTCTGCATTATAATGACTCATCAACAGATGAAGAAACCATGGTTTAGAGACACAGAATCGTCTGGGTCATCAGCTGCAGTGGCAGGGCCAGAGGTTCATATCCCGACTCCATGGTACACTAGGCTGTTGGCCACCTCAGTATTTTCCCCAAGAGAAAACGGTTTGATTTTAATAAAATCAAAAGGTGCCTCAAAGGTAAAGCCAATCAGGAAAGAGTAGGCAGAGAGCGAATAGTGACCAGAGAAAGCCTGTCTCATAAGAAGAAAGAAAGGGGCCATTTTCCTCTGTGCCTGCTTCTGGTTCCACGGAACAGGTGTCCCCAAGGCTCCTGGCCTGAGCTGCTGACTCCATTAGTTGACCCTTAAGGGATGCTCCGTCTCCTGCTCCCACTACTCAAATAAGGGAGTGAGACAATTACCTCTAGTCCCAAATTAGTGGTAAAAGCTAAAATTGGGAGTTCCTCTCCTTGAATCCTAAAATCAAAACTACAAACCGAATCTCTCAGCGCAGAATGAGAACAAAAAGAGTCCCAACGCCATTGCCAGCTGGAAGCAGCCCTGCAGCCCCACAGCCCCAGGAGCACCATTTCCCCACCATGTTCTCCTCCAATCAAGATGTCCCAGGATTCCCCACAGTTTGAACTGACAGAAGCACAATACTCTCCTTTCCAGACGTCTTGGGTTAATTTCCTTATTTTTGCTGGCCCACATTTTGAAGTCTTTCCAGACTGATGGACTAAAGTGGAAATTACAATTCCATTGGCTCTGTCCAAAACAGATGCCACATAATCACAATCATATTAATAAAGCTGGCAAGAGTGATTATGAAGAATTTAGGGGAGCGTGGGGGGCGGGGGGAGGGGGGAGAAAGAAACTAACAACTTCCAGAGTGTGTCTCAACCAATTGAACGCTCCTGCTTAGAAACAAGTTTTCCTGAGAAATTTGATGTTGGCTTTTCTCTATCTGAACGCCGAGTAATTCCTTTTCTTTTGTTTAATATTTTTTACAGTTTGGATGAAGGAAGAGAAAAAGGGGAATATTTGTTCGAATCTTTTTGGACTTCACAACACCCGAGGTCTTATTTATGCGTGGGTTTCCAGCTGTGCATGACATAAGTTGTTGAAAACTGGCACATCTTTCCATCAGCAAGCACAGCACAACCACAAGTTTGGCAAGCAGTTCATGCTGCCAGATGCCTTCTCTGTTTCTTAAACTATGTATTCAAGTCACTCCACTTTTTCCTTGCTGGAAATACTTTCAAAGAAGAACACAATGTTTTGGGTTGCCTGGCCAACATTTAGCTGTACTTTTGCATCTTTGCCAAACTTCCTGTTTTTAGCAAAACAATTTATTATCTTGCTGGTTCTTTAGACTCAAAAGGATTTCAGGCACAAATAACTACTTGGTTTCCATGTCTTTTCAGAGAAGAAACTCATTTGCTTTCCCATAATTATCCCGTAGATGCAAGAACAGAAACATATTTAACCTTTGGGAGTGCTACTGAGGTGTAGAAAAGGTTTTAATTATTCAAAACCTCTACAGTCTGAACTTTAAAGAACTGACAATTATTTTTTGTGCGCAAGGAAAATAATTATTTTCAGGTGGTTTGGCAAGATCACAGATTTGCCGCACGTGGTATTGTAGAAGCAAGTTTGGAGTGAGTTTGATTTGGAGGCCAAGGTTAGACTAAAGAGATTTAATTAATCAGCAGCAATCAAAGAAAGCATTCGCCCAGACACTTTTATGAATAGTTCATCTCTGATTACTAAGCCACACAGCCACTCTTTGACTTCATCAGAAAACAAAACAAAACCAAACGAAAACTAAACAGTGAGAGCCTTTCCCATCTCCACCTAGCAGCCACCCGGCCTGACTATCAACCAATAAATAGACTGAGAAGAAACAATCTCCCAACTTGATTAGACTGAGGTGGCCACGTATATGCAGTGCCAATTTTCTTCTACAAAATTATACTACCTACAAATAGAACGTATTTTGAGTAACACCATGCACAGACACACATAGCCATTTAGATAGTCTTCTATAGTACAGATGTGCTGTACTGTAGCACAGCAATATTGATAACGGTGCGGTTAATTCTTCAGAGAAATGCATTTCTAAGGTAGAATGTATTTCAACTTAAGCTTCAACCACAATTTCTCCAGGACTTTCAAAAATTACTTCATACTACCTGCAAAGACCCAGGAACTGATAATGTTGATTTCCTGTATGTTCATGCTTCAAAGACCTTAGAATTCTTTGATGGTGACTTAGCAACCACTATAAAAATAATGTCTCCTTAAAACAGAGTCAAAGAGTAAGACACTTTAGAGGAAATGGTTAATATTAATGAGAGGGTACAGTGGAGTCTGACAATAGCCCAGCATCAGCACTTTGGGAGGAATGCTTCTAACTTAGGCAAGAGAGGGCCAACTTCTGTCTTTCCATTTGTGAACTCTTCCCTTGGATTAAAGCAGAGAAAAAGACACTAGCTATTAGATAGATGGATGGAGAGAGAGGGTGTGTGTGTGTTGTCTGTTGTGTGTCTTTTTCTTTTCTTTTTTCCTTTTTTTAAGATTGATGCTTTGATTCTCTTCAGCTAAGACTGGGCCAAGAAAAGAAAAAAGTCCAAGTAACAATTCAGCTGGCTAGAGCACATACATTGAGGAGAGAGTTAAAAGGGGAGGTTTCCATAATGAATTATCACTCAATTCAAGCCGTCTCAGATGTTGTAGCAAAGTATATGGCTCCAGAAGGTGGCTCAAGATTTCTTGCAAACTCTTCTAAAAGGTGAGAAAGTGCCTTTATTATTAACCTTAGGGCATGTAGCTTTAAAGAGTTATTTTTAACATTTAAACATAAACAATATCAGTGCTAAATATAGGATCAAAGAAATATTTTTTCCATGTGGAGTTGCCAAAGCACAGAAGCATGGCTGCAAAGTACAAGTTTCCTTTGAAGGGGATGTTGCTATCGATATTGCTTACTCAGCAGTCTAGTAACGTCAAAATAAAGCACACATATAGATATATATTCATTATATCCTGCCTGGTATGAAAAAGGTTTTACTCCTCTGGTCTTTAAAAATAAAACCCAACATCCCAAACCAAAGCCTTAAGGGCTCCTTCACTAGCCTTTTTCAAAATGAACACATTTAATGTAATGTTTGAAGCCTGTGGTATCAGAATTTATTTCTACAAAGTTAACTCTATTTAATATCCTTGGCTCTAAGCTTAATTTGCTAAATAGTGCTGTTTTTGAAATTTATTGCAAAATTATTGTTCTCCAGGGAAATAATTACCATTCCTCTTACTTCTATGGTATTGCTTTCCTCTGCATGTGAATTTAAGTAAAAAGATTTTAAAAGCAACTCTGTGTTTTGAGTAAGTATCAATCAAGACAGTGTGACTCTGATATTATATTTGAATTTAAGAGAATATATTCTGTTCACTTGAATATCCAGTCTTTTTGAATGAGAACAATAGGATATTAAGAATTAGAAAAGAAGCCTAAGAAATGATTGCATGTATCTATTTATGCACGGCCGTGTTGCAAAAAGAATTCTAGGCAATCTAGGAGCATATATAAAATATAGTTACATAATGTCAATTAGAAGAAGGCATAAAGCAAAAAAGAAAACACCAGGATAAAGACATAAATGGAAGCAGGAATGGATCTAACAGAAGCTCACAGTTATCTATAAATGAAGCACAAATTTGAGTCTTGGGTTTAGTAGTTTTAAGGTGAAAGCGAAAACCTGCACAAGATTATATGCTCATGAATGACAGAGGTTTTCAGAACTTCATGCAAGTTGAAAACATTTTATAAATTACTGATTTGTGAGCCAGATACTTTCTAGTCTCCTCCATTGAATGCTGTGGTGATCATTGGGGAGGCAAAGGTTGACCGCGCTGCATCTACGTTTGAATATTTTGGGAATGCATCCTGATTCCCTTTTGGGGAATTGCCTTCTCCCTATTTTGAAGGGTGCTCTGTCTCTACCCCTCCCAAGTTCGCAGCAATACTAAACCTTAAGCAGACTGTGCCATGGCAGGAGGGGGAAATGGCTCTGACTGCTTCCCTCCCAGCGGTTGTGTGCTACCAACAAAGTGACTGGTTTGCACTAGTGCCCTGTTTCCAGTTCTTCTCAGAGCCTCGTTCTCCCGCTTTCTCATCAGTTCTTTAAGCCATCCAAGAATCATCCAGTAAATTTCTTTTCTGCTCAAGTTAAGTTCAGTGGCCTGCAACTACAGAACACTAAATGAAATACAGATAGGCCAGGCAACTCAAATGCAGATGGGTTAAATGACACGGCTGGGCCCCATTGGGAATTTTTGGTAAAGTTAAGTGTGGAACCCTGAGAATCTAATGCCCAGTTTATGGCCATTGTCATTCTACTCAGTGCAAACTATCTAAAGTGGAAATAGTCATTGGTGAAGAACATTTCTGTCTACAGCAAGAATATCTGCCAAAGAGTATGTATTTTCCCTCTTCATCAAAGCTCTTAGTAGTTCTCTTTCCTCTGCAGGGCATGGATGTATTTAAGAAAAGATTTTGGAGCACTGTACCGCCAGACACCCACTTTCAGTATCAGACCTAAACATTGTTATTAATGTCATGACACCTTCTGTTTGCCCTGATAGGTAATGCCTAACTTCAACATTATTAAAACCCAACACGTGAGTGAATAATGCTTTATATTTTATAAAGAGTTTAGTGTTTCTGATGAGAATTATTTCCCCCTTTAAGAGTTCTGGGCTGAAAAGCTAATGGAATAAGAACTATTGAGTATCCAGAGCAGTGGGGAGGGCCCATGAAGCCACAGGGCATGTGCCCAGTGGTGTCCTGGTAAATGTTTCACAACAGACTCTCCAAAAGAGAAAGAAGAAAAACAAAGCCCTGATTCGTAGTGCTTACACATTTCGGTGGTATGAAGACTCCTACCATGGCCAAGGTCGAGCTACCAGCATGATGTCACTGCACGTGGAATTGGGAAGAGATATGCACCAAGAGCTCTCAAAGCTGGTGCAAACAGGCTCCAGTGCACCACTGGAAGGTTTTTCTAGATACTTCTCCTTCAGCTGAGCCCAAGGAAGGACCTTGAAGGACCCAACCATCTGTTACTTTTATGACATATGTTCTTCTGGAGGCTGCTGTCTGTAAATCAGTCAACTAACCAATGGGCAATAGGAGTCTCTCTCTCTTCTCCTATCTGAGAATCTTCCTCTGGAACATCAGAAGGAACAGAAGTGATTCATCATGAATGAATGTCTTATAGGAAGAACATCTTTAGTTTCCTTTCAAGAGAAAGTTTGCATTTAAAGGCAGTGATCTGCTTTGTCTGTAAACAAAACAAACAAAAATCCAAATGAGTTGAAGAAACGCTATGTTATATTGCAGGAAAAAAATCCCAGCTCAAAGGCAAAGTGTCTGGAAGTGCACTATGAGGCAGTCAAGTGATGGTGAAGAGCATGGGTCCTAACTCCAGCTCTCTGGATATGAACGCCAGCTCTGCTTTTTACCAGGAGCATCTGCCCTTGGGCCAGTAACTTGGGTTTCAAAACCTCAGGTTGCTCCTCTGCAAGATGGAAATGATAATAGAGTCTCCATGAAAACTTAGATAGACAATGCAAATAAAGGACTTAGCACAGGGCCTGACTTGTGGTAACTTGTTCCTGTTACTACTCCGTGATTGTCCAGTCTGCCCTTGTCACTGGCTTGGCGTGTTTGGGTTTCCTTTTCTAAGATGTGGCAGCAGCCATTAGAGTCCATTCACCCCCGAAAAAGGAATGGTAAATGGGTGGTTAGGAGAAAGCCAGTCCTAGCAGAGTGCTTTCCATGGGCAAAAGAACACGATGACAGGCACCAACGAGGCATTCCTCCCCACCTCGTGGGAAAGAGCACATGCCTGGAACAGGTGCAGTCACAGGAGCCCCAGGAGGGGATGGCCAAGAGGATGAAACTTCCATTATCAGGGTTTGGCTGAAAACCATCAGAGCCACATCTCCAGTGGAACTTGTAACTGCTTACTCATCTCAAATAACTTAAAGCATGTCATCACCATTCCCGGCCGCAGGAATGAAGCCTGCCACAGAGTGGGGATCTGTTTTCTTCCTTAAAGCTCTCGGAGTGTTCTGCTTCAATTCCCTGCATGGGATGTAGATATATTAAACACACACAGAAAATGACCATAAAGTGAACATTAAGGCTGAGAAATGGGGTCCAAGGATGCCAAGAAATTCAGAAGTAAGTGTTCCCCCGGCAGTTCTAACTCAGCCATCTTTGCAGTAATGCATCCTTTCCGATTTCTGAATCCTCAGTGGAATGCCCACTTCATATGGACTCTGGATCCTTCCACTAAGCCAGGGGAGGAATATTTGGGGTCTCTCTCGCTCCTTCTCACTTCCCCAGGTCATGGGAAAATCTTGTCTAGGACCCTTCCACTGAGCCCTCGAATGAAGCCAGGCATAGCAATGCACTCTCAAGAGCTGGGAGGGCGGGTGATGGGGGAGTAGCTCAGCCCCAGGAAGCTGGACCAGTTCCCTTCCCTGGCCCCTCCCTGAGAGCCAGGAGGCTACTCCTGGCTCCACACAGCAAATGTATCCACCCAGATATCCAGGATGCATTAGTGGTTCGACACAACTGATGTGCTCAGGCACCTCCGGGGTACATTAGTTGAAGTGGCTACAGCAGCTGGTGGCTCCTCTTCAGGCATAATTTATCTATTGCACTTCACTTAATGTGCAAAATTAAATTTATGCTGAATCCATGTGTATTACCTACTGTGCATGAGCAGCATGAAATATACCATAAAGCAAATCAGCACAGAGCCATGCTCTTAATTGCTAATGGCTTTCAACACACTTCATTGTGGTCTAACCAAACCTGGAGTCCATTCTGCACTGAGAATCCTGCTCATGTCAAGAAGTGAAACTTTCTGGAGCATGTGTTCTTTAGATCACACATTCTGTACTTTCCACTAATATTGCAATCAACATGGTTTCTACGAAGGGCATGATTTTACTGAAAAATAATCAGTGTGAAATGCTTTCTTAAAAGTAGAATATAGGAAATAACCCCAAGATTCAGCCCAAGTTCTGTCACTGCCAGGCTATGGGACGCACTCTGGGTTTCTGGTCCTACACATTAAAACACAGGAATCAGAATGGTTGATTTCCGCCCCTAACAAGGAAAAGAATCTACGCAATCAAGTATAGTGAATTTCACAAAAACAAATCTCTCAAAAGAAGCTTTAAAAAATATGGTGCAAAATATGTTTGCACACACTCTCACACATCTACATTCTCACAGAGTAGAAATTAATTCAAGTTTGAAACTTGATTCGAAAAAGAAATTTGGTGGAGGAATCAGAAACAGAAAGAATAAATACATGGGTAATGCAGAAACTTAAAACACAATTACATCTTCTCCAACAGCAATTATTCAGTGTTTTTCATATTTCTGTTCTTTTTAAAGTATGCTTTGTACAACTAGAGAGACCATTTTCCATGGAAAAAAAATGATCTGCTCTGCAATTTACATTTGTATTAGGAAGTATCCATCTGTGGAAATGTCATGTTCCTCCCTTAAAAATAATTTGTTACTTTCCCCACATAAAGGACAATAGAAAAAATAAAACCAGTGACTGTATTACTTTTTAGATGGTGTCTTTACATATTTTTTCAGTAGGTGACTATTAGTATAAAAATTTAGAAAATATATCAGTCTTTCCAAGCACAGTATTTTTATAAAAATAAGAAAATTCTGTTAGGAAGATATGGTGATAATTTTACTTGTTGTTCTACTCTTCCTCATTTTGTTTCCATGTCAAAATCAGCATATTATTCACCAAGAATTTTAATCTGACGTTTTAAACGTTTTCTTCAATTTTAGTGCTTCTTGATTTTATGTGGTTTGTGGCCGAAAAGCTAAAATGTAGATATGAATTGTTTGCATTCATACATAAACATATGTATATGTATATGTGCATGCATGTATGTGCATTCTTTCAGTCACTGTCATATAGAATTACAATTAATTGAATAAATATGCATGTAGAAATGAGTTTTCCCATCACTTCTATTTTTGAATGCATAAGTTATGTTATTTTACTGAATATTTAATCTAATAAATATATTTCCAGAAGTGAAATGCACTAGTAGCATCTGGATCTGGTTCCTTTTCTAGAAAAGATGTGTTAAATTAAGTCAACTCAGTAGTAAACATGAATCGAGCAACTGCTAGCTATAAGGCTCGGATCTGGAAAAAGTAACTTGACCCCTGTCCTATGGGGACACACAGTTAAGTGGCAAACATGGACATACACACAACTCTAGTGCAAGATAAATAGCCGTAAGTCTTAGCACTGGGTTATAGGGGAGTGGGTGGCACTCCGGGGCTCTGGGGAGATAGAGCGGCCATAGTGGAATGAGAGCTGAGTCTTGGAAAATGAGTCAAACTTTGACTGGAAGACAACTGGGGGAAAGCAGAGTGAGGAACACAGAAGGCAGAGGGGATTGCTTGAAGGACAATTTGGATAAAGAAAAGGAAGGTCAAAGCACCCACCTTGAAGTTCCTTAGTGCGCACCCAGGACCTCTAGCTGGGACTGCCATTGACTGGCTTAGAATAGGGCTTTTAAAAAAAAGGCATCAAAGCAGCGATGCAATGTTTCTCTTTTCTAGCCACAAAGTCTTGTTCAGATCTTCTTAATCACAAATTTGCTGAGCCCAAGAAGAAAAAACTTCCTTCTTAATCCACAAAGGTAATAAGCTTTTACCCCAAAGCTTATCCTCACCTTCCTTGTTTTAGCTAGCTGTTAGCTTCCAGGATGATTAGAAGCAGCAAAGACATCATCAAGCTCATTTTAAAATGTCATCTGTGATATTTTCCTAGGTATCTTTTGGATAATACTTTTCCTGGGTTAATTCCATGCTTTCTAAAAACAGGAATTCGTTTCCTCCCTTCCTCTCTCCCTCTCTGCCTTTCTCTCTCTTTCTTTCAATATCAAGGGGCATGAATTTGAGACACAAAATAAGTTTGGAAGACACTTCTTTTAGCTGAGTATTTGAATGATATGGGTCTTAAAAATCAAAGAGGCTTATTGTTTTATAGCTTCCATGAAATTCTCCCACTTTCCTCTTCTCTGGGATTGAATGCATATTTCCCATTGTGCCCCAGGCTTGGTCTTTCCATCTTTTTCAACACCAAGGCTTTGTCAAGAGATAGATAGAGCCTGGTAATCATTTCCCACAATGGGGTTATCTGCTATCTGCCGGGGTTGTTTTTCTGAATGATATCTGATCAAGCTACCTTTCGGTCTCTAGAAGTACCCAAGGGGGTCTTCTCAGCTCTATCTTCTTTCTCTGCTTTCTATCAATCAACCCAAGCCAAGATAATGCATGATCCAAATATTTTTTAAGTGTCAACATAGACCATGATGATTGTGTCTACATTTAGTAAAAGCTCATTTATATTCTCTAATCCAGCTAATTATCCCAAAAGATTCTACTGATTTCTACTGAGTTGTTCCTAATGTCAGAATCCAACAGAAACTCCTGCAAATTTGCATTCTTTCCTTCCTCTTGCTCTGGCCCAGGCACGATGTTCATGGAAATTCAAGTGATAAGCAAAGGAAACAAACTACCTTGGAATTTGGCTGATTCTCTGGATGTCTGACCTAGTACAGGGAAACTTCACACAGTAATCTTCAAAATGCAAAACTGAAAGCAATGAAATTCCACTAGTTCTGTAAGAAAAAATAAATCACCCACACATCATAAAATTGAAAGACTGTCCGTGAAGAGTATTATTCTCATATTTTCCATTTGGACTTTCTGACGGTCCTTCTGTAGAATTAAGGATTCCATTTTCCCCCCTTTAGAATCATGAGCATTCCATGCCCAAATACCTACATCTAATATTTGAAATTTTCCAGGTCCCACTTACGCTAACTAAAATCAACCTACCAAATCTCCTTTCTCACTGTTCCTAGACAGTGAGAAAGGTTCAGCAGGGAGCTAGGACCCAATCCTTCTAACTCTGACCTCAAATGGACTTCTCTGGGCATCAGTCATTTTGCTGCATGATCTGGGATTGCCACCAGCCACGAAGCAGGCGAGCCTCTGGCTTTCCCACACAAGACCCATCCTAAGATGAGCAAGTGCATTCCTGTCTCAACTCTTCACTGCAAATCGCCACAGCTCCTTTCATCAAGTTAATTATAGAACCAAGGGGCTGGAAGAGGAGCCCAAGACATCATCTGTTCCATCCCCTCGGCTTTCTGGCACGGCCGCATTTAAATCATCCCAGACAGATGGAAATCTATCCGGTTTTTAAAGACCTCCAGAGGAGGAGATTCCACAGCCGTCAGTCACCCACTCTGCTGTTTAACAACCCCTGTCAGAGAATCCCTCTTTATCTCCAGCTTAAATCGCACACACTGCGCTTCAAGCCAATTTCTTGTTGTTCCGTACATCAACCTTTCACATACCTGAAGATCATTATTAAGGCATCCCTCCAGCTTCTCTTGTCTGGGCTGAGCAATCCTAATTCCTTTCACCTCTTTTTATAAATCTAACTTTCTTAACTTTTAATCACCTCTGTGGCTTTCCACTGAACTTTGGTAGACTCAAAGATTAACTGGAGATATGGGTAGTCATTTGTGTCTTGAAGCCAGTGCTTCTCAAACTTTCTACTCTCAGGACCCCACTCTTAGAAACTGTGGACCCTAAAAAAGCTTTTGCTTCTGTGGGTTATATCTATTGGTATTTGCTATATTAGAAATTAAGACTGAGAAGTCTTTAAGACTACAGAATATGCAAGTATACAGTCCATTATCCATCAGAGCAATGATGTCATCACACAGCACGTGGCCTCTGGAAAACTCCACTGTATGCTCACAAGAGAATGAGAGTGAGAGAGCAAATCACATGTTAGTATTATTATAAAAATAATATAGACACTGCAGACATCCTGAGAGTCTCAGGGCTCCCCATGGTCTCTGGACCACACTGTGAGATTCTCTGTTTTACGGGAAGCACAGCCCTATTCTCAGAGTAAACCTGAATGTACAGGCAGTTGGTAAGCAGTCTAGTCTAGTCTAAGAATGGCCAAATCAAACCATGCTACAGTGTAAGGCGAATTAAAGCCTTTAACCGTCAAAGCGCCCATGCCATCAATCTTAGAAATATGATAGAAGCTCATTTTGAGAATAAGCTGACTTTTGCTGATATTTTTATGAGAAAACATGGTCGTGTCAGAGCAGATGGGCAGAGGAGGTTACTGTTGATTGTGCCTTAATAGGAAAAGCAGATTCTCCAACATGTGATCCTCCTAATCACACACAAAACCATTCTGGTTATTGGCTGTTGATCTGGCACAAATAAGCTATTTGCTGTGAAATGGCAGAGCTCATGAAATCCCTTGCTTACCACTGTTTTTACAACGGCCCTGTCTCCTGGATCCCACCTAGCCCACCTAGGCCTGCCTATCAATTTGCGAGACTCTGAGGCGATGGTGGGACGTGGGGAAGGGGAAAGGGTCTGTGAAAGCTCCTTCTGCAGGTTCAGGCCCTGAGCGGAGCCAGACGCTCACATGACTTCCTTTACCTTCCCCCTCCCTTCCCCAATTTTATATTGTTTTCTTTTATACCGGAGAAACTGCTTCTTTTTCTCAATAACCTCAAGTTTTAAAACTATTAGCCCAAGTCTTGTTTAACATATTTGTTAGGCATTGTAGGCTTATCGATCAAGCAACAAGTATTTATTATCTACTCTGTATTCAAAATTCTACTAGACATTGTGGGTACATACCACAGAGGCATACATATTATTTTTTATCTCTAGGGACTTACAGTCTAGTTGAGATAAAATAAAATAAAACATATAAAACAACAGCCTACTGTGCATGACAGAATAGAATTAAGTTCTAAACTGCACAGTACAGACTAAGTATTATAGGAGTTGTCAGAAAGAGCGTCTGTTAGGATGTGAAATGCACCACACTAGTTAAAAAATGGAAATATTTCAGTTGTGGCATAAGTGAATTTTGAGTTGGAGCTTGAAATGTATTTCTTCTGAAAACTTGTAGGCTCATTCTTACAAGCAGGCCTGGCCCTAGCGTTTGTAGGGCCAAGGGGTACAATACAAATGCTCCCCACCTCTTCCCCCCAACCCTGGCCCATTGCTGTTCAGCATCTCTTCCCACCCCTGGCTCCATCCTGGACAGGAAAAGCCTTACATGCATGAATAGGGAACCCCAGCAGGCAATGCAAACTCAGTCCTCAATCACACCCTACAAAACAGCCACCCTGGCTCCCTTGAGGACTATCAACGAGCACACCAGAAACCTGGTTAGCCCTGAGGAAGATGAAAGAAGTGCCGAGGAAGAGGCCTGTGCAGGCTCTGGAAGCAGGCTCGGTCCCTCTGGGCAGGGAATTCCAGGTCCCTGGCACCTGAGATGTCCCTGAAGGGGGATGGTATAGTGCAAGCTCAAGTGGGTATTCCACTGACTGCTCAGAATCCTCTGCTTGAAGGGAGGGCAGCACCTGGACTGGGCCAAAGCAGGTCTCTAAAGCGTAGGACCCAAGGCAGCGGCCCCAGTGCCCGGGTCTAAGGCGGTAGCTTTAAAAGAAAGGAATTCCAATATAAAAGTCCTTCAAAATAAATATTCTTCATATTAAAGGTTTTCCAATAGCCCTCAACTTCTTAAGTTACATATTTTCTTCTCTTTGAAGGGAAATTTGTGCTTTGATTAGATTTTTCAAAGTAAGATTATTATAAATTTTATTTTACTTAGATTACTTTATTTTTTAGTATTTATGCATGTAAAATTTTAAAATGCACTTCCCTAGGAATTTTCAGAAATATCTTAATTGAAGAAAAAGATTCAGATCTAGAAAAGTAATCAAGTCAACTAATATTTTGAACGCTCACTAAACCTGAACAAAAGATTCCTTTTATAAAGTCAATTCTCAATTATTCTATTTTTTAAGTGGAGTTAGTCACCACCTAAATGAATTGTATGTTGTATTTAATATTTATACATCAGACTTTCTTGATTGCTCCACAGAAGTCAGACTTCTAATCCAGCTACCTTTCTTTA